TTCGCTGACATAGTTAAAGTGGATGAAGAAAGTGGAGAAGTGCGACTGGTACTTCCTAATGTTTTGAAATCTTTGAAAAAAGAACTTCGTCGTGGAGCTCAGGCCGTTAAAGTACGGTATGTCTTTTTCGGAGTGCGAAATCAGTGCTTCCGTCAGTTTGTTATGCACAAAACCGACTTTCAACTTGCATCAGCATGCATCAACAAGTTAATGGTCGTTGATAAGCTTATACGAGGTTGTTACGAAGCTGTTGCTTCCCATTATCTAACGTTCCGTCAGATTTTGCTTTCTTCAGAGCTTTATTAGTCTATGCCATTTTAGGAAACGAAACCAGATAGTGGACCCCTCATTGATTACATGGGATGGGAAATCACTTGCATCACTCATGATCTTGTTAGTCGTCGTATAACTCGGGCTAACATAACGAATTAAAGAAATTTCCTTGTAGCTCACTGCAGATGTTCCTGAGGTGACGGAATTAACTACAACGTAATTCTATATGAAATAATTGAACTGAGATTTATCCCATGACATCTAGTTTTTGTTCGCAGCCGTGTATTCACCTTTGATTAGAATGCTTAAAGGGCTCAAAATATGACAAACATATAGAAGGGAATTTATTTTATCATCCTAAGGGTGTAAATTTGCTTGGATACTTGGATGGCCCATGTTGTTCGTCGATAGCTTTTCTCTAATGTCCGATTACGGCTGAATGAGTTGAAGTCAATTTATTTAGTCCATTCTACCAAAACGTATACGTTGGATTTAACACACATCTTTTTATTCACGACCTAACAAATTTGTTTTATAGTTTCTTAAAATCTCCTTAATTGATCCACATAGTGCACTAATTAGATCAATGTTGCATTCAGTGACGAGAAAATAATGGCCGACGTAGAGAAGGAGCTTGCCGAGTCGAAGAATGTTTGCAGACTGAAAGTCGTTAGTTCTATTTTCTAGTAAGATCGATAGAAATTTAATATTATCTTTAAACATTTTCAGGGCTGTAATTTTCTAATGGAACTCATCGACAGGGTTCGACATGCGAAGAACAAACACTACGTTTGTTTTATGCTTATTCTCTACTAAACACCTTTTCTTAACGTGGTGAAGTTTTCAATCTGCTCGGTGCTGATTGCATGACCTTCAATAACCCGCTGTCATTTTTTTCTGAACCTTATAGCGGTTATGTTTTCAATCCCTATTCTAGGTTTCCACTACTTTTCCTCGTATGAGAAATCAGATGCCATCTACTCGCGATGCCAAGCACCGCGCCCTAGGCAGAGTGCTGAATGCATATTAGAAATGACCGCTCGCATCTTTCCAAAGTGTATGGATTCAGAGGATCAGCTCTCCGTATATTGCCTCGCTAGACTGTCTTATAACTTCGTTATACGCATAATTTTGATTACGGATGTGGTGTGTCTAGAACGACTATTCCACGTTTAGCGGGTGGCGTCGATGAAGATATTGGAACGTATTATATTGATGGATTTTTAATGTCTTCTAACCTCCAACAAACAAACTACGTTTCTCCAGCTAGAGTGCATTGGTTACCTGCTAGCGTTTCCAGTTCCCAAAACAGATCACAGCGAGCTATGCATGTCTATGTCTTTGTGAAAACCCAAAAAACGTGCAGCTTGATTTTCCTGTTCCGCGATACCAATTCGGGTCTTTAATAGAATCATAATTAAAACAGATGCTGCTTAAAGCCTGTTTTAGGTTTCTTGGCAGGAAGTCCAGGTACGGTACAAAAATATGGTCTCCAAAGTTAACGAAGAAGACCAGGAACTAATGGATAAGTATACCGGCTTCGGATTAAATTTTACTGAACCTATTCTTAGTAGAGAGGTACGTGTACACAATAGTTTTATTTATTTTGGATATTCTAAGACACACAATGCGAATGTAGTGCGTTTTCTCAAGGTAGTTAAAAAATTGACTGGTCGGTACACAGCTAAGAACGCACTGAACCAAGAAATCTTCCGTCGAATTCGATACTACGTTGTCTCGTCGAATGTGCTTATGGTTGGATTTGGATTAGGTGAAAACCCAGGTGAGTATTTTATGGCAACACGTTTTTCGCTTAAGTTATTATTTGGGTTTTCTGATGCGCAATGAAAGATGTCCTATTTTCCGTCGTTCGTAGGGCGAGTATTTATCTTTCCGACCCCTCAATCTCTCAAGTCAGACACGTCAAGTACAAACGTAATTAGCGATTCTGTTATATAAAAGCAACTGATCGCTGTGCGTTAATTTCAGTATTTATACAAAATCATCTTGGTACCCTCTCTATCTGTTATGCCCTGGCTCTCTCAATACTTCCCCACCAGCCACAGTTTCTTCATTGCCTTAGTTCCAGAAGAGCAGTTTCCTGTGTGCTACCAACTATGAAAAGTAGGTTTACACACAGGAAATTCAGTACGACACTTGTAGCTAGCAGGCTTCCAGGGGAATACACGATATATAAAAAGAAGAAGACTGTGCGACAAAGTTAACGGCCAGAACATTAGGGAATCATATGTGACAAATGTTGTCCACTACATGATGGAATTCTTGTTTGCATTGAAATAGTTCAGAATTGTACCCAGAAGAGGAGTTGACGGATGGCGGTGACGCTTCCAAAGCTTCTGCATTGGCCAGAACTGCTATAGCTGGGCATGGTGAACCACTTAAGCCATGTAACTATGCGGCTAATGTTCCACCAAGAAGCTGTCAACCTTACAGCGTAACGTTTTTTCAAACAACCTTATTTTTATGTTTTGGGAAAGTTTTTAAATTTAAAGCTGCTCAAACAGCAGTTTTGTTCTTTCTTGTACTAAGAAATCGCATTGTTTTCGCTGATTGCGACTGCCATTCATTCTCTTGAAATTAATATGGTTGCAATTCCTATGCCTGATATGATGATTTTGAAAATGCTTGACAAGAATATTTAATTTCAACAATCTGTGTTATGCCTTAGGATGATGAAACTGACTCAGAAGACGAACCTATGGATGAAGCTGGTGTGTACAGTACCGACGAAGAAAACGATGTGGTATGCATTCACTACCTTGATGTGCAACTGATGCCATTTCATCTTTTGGGAATTGGTTGAAAATGTCTGAGACCAGTGAGATAGAAATCACACTTTGATACAGTACGAGGACTAATGCCAACACTACTGATCTCCATCCGCGTCGACGGCAAAATTCATGGGGCGGAGCACGTGCCTATTCTTAATTATGGTAGATCGTGGTGTGCATTGAACTCAAGGCAAACTGTTCATTTTACACCAAAGATGGTTACCCAATCGTTTTCGGTTTTTTCTTATGTAAACTCTCTATTTCCATCGATTTTGCTTATTTCTATGGCTTTTCATGTCTCACAAATCCTCTATGTCGTTTCTATTTTTCCATGTTTGGAACATATCAAACTATTGCATGGCAAAGAAAGCCTCTTCCGTTGCTCAAAGGCGCTATCAGCTTCTAATAGAAATTATGTTCAGTGCGTCGTTGAATTTCTGTATACTTCTATTTCCACTTGTATCCTAGTCCATGAGGGTTTTAAAGGTACACTTTGTGGAAGCACACTGGTCAATAACAGTGTGTCTGCAGGTGTAAGAATATCTTATTACTTTCAACGTTAGCAATGGTCTGTTTGACAGACGGCTGAACTCTCCAGAAATTTTTCGCATGGTATTAGGAGTGTGCAGCAGCTTTTTGCAGATGACGCTTAACACGTCTGTATAGCACAAACTATCGACCCACTGAGAGAATCTAACAAAAGTTTTGCACGACAAAATAGGGAGTCGCAACAAAAACGCATTGAAATCAACTCATTAGCTCCAATTTGTTTCTTGGAATTTAATTGGTATCACTGTATATGGTTGAGAATGCGATAAGTTTAGAGTTTTTGCTAGGCGCTTGCAAATTTTCCGATCTCACAACTGAAATACATCGTGAACGTCCATTAAGTGCTGTTCTTGCTCGACGACATGTCCTTACATTGTCGTCAAAGTTTGCAGCGAAGACGTATTCATCGTCCAATATTACCGACCCTTTTTATTAAAGCAAGTCCAAATTTCGTTCTGTTGCTTATCATAAAACATCCGGCAATAATGTAACGACAATGACGTTGAGATTTGAGCAAAACTTGGAACACCCCACCTGCTTGATTAGCTTCGAACCCGCGATTACCTTTCATGGGACCAAAATGTTACTCACTGCACCATTGAGGCTNCCATTAAGTGCTGTTCTTGCTCGACGACATGTCCTTACATTGTCGTCAAAGTTTGCAGCGAAGACGTATTCGTCGTCCAACATTACCGACCCTTTTTATTAAAGCAATTCCAAATTTCGTTCTGTTGCTTATCATAAAACATCCGGCAATAATGTAACGACAATGACGTTGAGATTTGAGCAAAACTTGGAACACCCCACCTGCTTGATTAGCTTCGAACCCGCGATTACCTTTCATGGGACCAAAATGTTACTCACTGCACCATTGAGGCTTTCCTTTGTTCTTGCTCTTGCCCAATTTTTTATCACAGCTGGGCTATCAGTAATCACTCCTCAAGGGAATGGTAGCACAAATCACCATTGAACTCAGTTGAGCGGAAGGTGCAGTGGAAATCGCAATGTTTTATTTGGATAAATACTGAAGGTTCTTTCCCATCATGATGTGGGGATTTTCTTATATGTTGTTGAGCCGTATTTCAGCCGAACCACCCTATTGTACAGCGGTGGCCTTCTGAAGGTCAAGACCGTGGTCCGAGTACTTATAGAGCAGCATGGGGCATTGAACAGGTAACATTTATGTGTATTTATATGTATGTATGTGTATGTACAATATCTTGAAGCAGCGTGCTCGATTTCTGCAGGATCAACATCAACAATTGTACCTACAGCGGTGGTGTCCTGGAAACGAAGATCGTGGTCCGAGTACTTATAGAGCAGCATGGGGTATTGAACAGGTAACATTTATGTGTATTTATATGTATGTATGTGTATGTACAATATCTTGAAGCAGCGTGCTCGATTTCTGCAGGATCAACTTCAACAATTGTACCTACAGCGGTGGTGTCCTGGAAACGAAGATCGTGCTCCGAGTACTTATAGAGCAGCATCGGGTATTGAACAGGTAACATTTATGCGTATTCATGTGTATGTACAATATCTTGAAGCGGTGTGCTCGATTTCTGCAGGATCAACATCAGCAATTGTACCTACAGCGGTCGTGTCCTGGAAACGAAGATCGTGGTCCGAGTACTTATAGAGCAGCATCGGGTATTGAACAGGTAACATTTATGTGTATTTATATGTATGTATGTGTATGTACAATATCTTGAAGCAGCGTGCTCAATTCCTGCAGGATCAACATCAACAATTGTACCTACAGCGGTGGTGTCCTGGAAACGAAGATCGTGGTCCGAGTACTTATAGAGCAGCATGGGGTATTGAACAGGTAACATTTATGCGTATTTATGTGTATGTACAATATCTTGAAGCGGTGTGCTCGATTTCTGCAGGATCAACATCAGCAATTCTACCACTGTCTTCCTCATCACCAACTGCAGCAGCGCCGTCAGCATTCTGGTTTCTAGTGTTGTTACCCGAAATGCATGAATAAAACAGTATCAAGAAGCGGGCATTTGTATAATATCTTTTATGACGTTGAAGTCCATAAATGAATAAAGAACTTAACGAGCAGGTAAACAAAATAATTTGGAAGCAATGTAATAAAATCCTGCCTTCAGGTAATGGTGTCACTTTTCTTCTTCCTCTCTCAGCTTTCACTCCAGCTTTTTTTAACACCGCAATGATAGATCGCTAGAGAGCATCCATTTGCTTGATGAAAATAAATAATTTATCTTTGACAAACGAGATGTGACTTAATGTACCAACTTAACCATCCTTTTCACTTATCGTGTGCTTCTTCCAGATGTGAAAGTGCTCCCTAACGTAATTGTTTTTCTGCTTTTAGATTTTTAGGATGTTACACCTTTATTTTCGGCCTCCGCAAAGAGAAAGCCATAGCAATACTTCTCTGAATAAATTTTGGGCAGAAAAAATAAAACCACATATCACACACCTTTCCCATTTCTGCTGCAACAGCGGTGCTTCCAGTGAATCTCTTAGTTGTTTCAGTTGGCTTGACTTTCCAATGAACGACCTCAAAGTTTTCTTTATCTTCTTGGTTCTGCTGTCTATGGTATTTGATCCACCGATACCCATTAAACCGTGAAGGAAGAAAACATCGAAAAGAAAAATGAAAAAAAAAGACAAAGAATGACAAGTACATAAGTGGAATTCGTGATTGTAGCCAAAGAAGATTTCGCGTGCTGGGCGGACAAGGTTGACTATGAGATTCACTGACGTAGAAATCGCCGTCACAGCATCCAAAAACGCCTTCTCCCACGAGTTCAACTTTCTCCGTCTCGACTTCTGTTGCCTCCAAAAGATGAGTGCCTGGTGTAAAATAATTCTTGCCTTATCTCTTGATTTATCTTTAATGTTATTCCTTCCATCTTAAATTTCATTGGTACAATGTTAAATTTTTAATGGCCGGCTACTTTAATTTTTAACGATAGGGTGGATTATAACAACAGGTACTCGCAGAACGTGGGCCCCAGACCTAATCGAACCACGATTTCCGTTTCCGGAGGCTTGCGCATTACACAATGCGTCACCGAGTCCTTTGATCTGAGCTTAACTCAGCTTGTTTTCTCCCTACCAGTGCCATCAGCAACCATCCGTGAGCGCGATTGATCTGGGAGCCCACGTGGCCCGTGGTTCAAGTTTTGCGAACATCTCAGCATCGCTGTGGTTGATTTCAAATGATATCCTGCCGTGAAAATTGTAGTAGGTAGTAAATAGAAAATTAGACATTGTGATTTGAACTGCGGCCTCAGGTTTATTGGATTCAACGCCGATTTCGGCTCCTCAGATCAATCCTCTCGACGGGTAATGACTGATTGCACTGGTAGATAGAAAACTAGTTGATGGCCCGGTGTCCACGTTTTGCGAATATCTCAGCATTAACTGCCACGACTTTCTATTAACCTCGGCATTGATCAAGTGATTTTCTTCGTATTTTTGTTGAGCAAACGCGAGATGTTACTATTCTTTGTTCACGATTAAGCTGATGTTTCGGCGGATTTCGCCTTCTTCAGAGCCTGGAAAGGTCAAGTTGATAGCTATCCACTCGGCCAGACGCCTCCATAACCAAACAAAGAAACTCCAAACCAAGATTTCAATCACTTTGAACACAGCTTCGCACACTCACCGCTTTCTATGAGGTTTCCACCAAGTGTGTCACGTAGAGACCAACCGCACAGAAATCACGTGGAAGTATAATGTGCCCCTCACATCAGAAAAGCAGTTTTATATACTGCCCTATATCACGCGTGATAATGAGGCATTCTTCCCTGCGGTTCATTTTCGGATTTCTGGAATTAATCCAGAGTGCCTCGAGAGTTTTTCGCGCCTGTGTTCTTGATTCGCGTGCATCAACACAGACGTACTAGGCTCATTTACGTTTCACTGGAACAGGCATTCGTCAACCTTTGTTGTTAACTAAAGGCTTAGCAACTGCAACATCAGATGAGACAAAGGGAAATGAGCAGCTTGGCGAACGTGGTTGAGTGTGGTATAAGCGTTTTGGAGTTCTCTCCTTGGTGATCCTCATCGAGTTTATATACAAAGCCAAGACCAAGATTCTTTTTTGGTACAGCGCTATTTTGCTTCCGCCGACATGATTCATAAGCGGATAGACTACATATGTAAAGCCGTTAGGCAGAATTTCAAAACATTTAAATGTTATCTGCTGCATATTTAGTCAGCGGCACAACTGTGTCATGTCCGTTACAGCTTAAACTATTGGTGGTTGGTGGTTCGACTAAAGAGAATGCCTTGATCTCGCCCATTTACGTAGAGGATAATATCATCTACCTTCAAGGTTGGACTCATCATCAGTTGTTTAGACGGACCCACCGATGCAATAGCTTTATTTGCAAACCTTGTTCTCATCCAGCTACTGAAGCACATACCAGCTTATTTCACGAATACCCGAATGTCCTTGGGTCATCTGCGTAAAGCACTTCCTAACAGCGCTTATGCTACGGAGTCCTTCGACTCTGCCGCGCTTTATACTTACGTGTCCTCCATTTGAAGAGTGTTCATGGTTCTTCTGAAGATGTGCTTGAACTGCTCAATCTTTGGAAGGTACGGAAAATATTATGCACAAATTAGACGATTAGCAATGGGACAGCAACTGGCACCAAGCGTTGCCACTGCGTTCATATCTAAGCTGGAAGCACCAATAATCAATCTCCGGCCATTACTCTATCGCGGAAATGTAGATTGTTCTTTCGTCATCTAATCCACACAAAAGGAGATGAACAAATGCTTTCAGTTACCGAGCAGACAGTCACAACACACAGCTTTCACTCAAGTGAATCCAAGAAAAATTGGCTTCCATTTCTTAACGTTCGTATTAACCTATCCGAAAATAGTAGCTTCAGAAAATCGTACCGAAACTCAGGTAGCAAGAATACTCAGGTCCATTGCATCTTCTCTTAAGCCCCACAGACAAAAAGGAGGCTTGTTATAAATATGTTTCGGGCAACCAACAATGTTTACACAGGGAATGAGCAGAACGAAGATTCATTGAAACAAGCGCGACAGCTAGTCATTTCAAATGGCTACGAAACTGTGGCTCCTTTCGACAGACGTTAAGGGAAAACCACGCCCCTAAACGTTAATTTCAGCGAGAATTTTTTTAAGCAACATGTTTCTATATTCTTATTTAGCAAACACGAGATGTCATTTTACTTCTCTATATACACGAGCAGCACTTCGGCAGAATTTGCCTTTCTCAGAGCTTCGAAAGATCAAGTTAACCGAAATCTACCCAACCAAACAGCTCCATAACCAAACAGAGAAAACTCTAAGCCAAGATTTCAACCACACTGAGCACATAATAGCTTCTTTGAGCATTCGCCGGGTTTTACGAGTCATCCACTGAGTGTCACGTGGATACCAACCGCACAGAGTTCACATGGGAGCGTAATGTGCCTCTCCCTTCAGAATAACAGGTTTACATAAATCTGCCCAATAACACGCGTGATTATGAAGTATTCCTCCTTGCCGTTCATTTCCGGATTTAATTGTCATCGTTAGCATGTTTTTAATTGCCGAGCTTAGTCGAGCTGGTAAATGTGTTCATTTGGGTAACGCTTCGACGTCTTCGTCGTCGTCAGAGCCGATGATCCGAGTCAATGATCCACAGTTGTTCGTGTTCTCGTTGTGACTTCTTCGTAACCAAGAAGACAGCCATCGCAAAACAATTTGCTGTAATTTGTAGAACATTGTGTAGCTATAGTTATTATCAGTAGTTTTAGAGAATTTCTCCACTTATTGCTAGTAACTATATTACGGCAGGCAATGCATGTGCCACTGCCAGGCAGTCAGCATCGATGAGCGGATTCTAAAGTTATAAGGGAACATCGTCTGAAGTATCTTGCTTTTTTTGGCGTTGGAAGGAGATGTGCTCTATTTTAAAAGCCAACATGGCAAGTATATTTCTATTATAATCTCTGAAGGCTAGACAGCTTTTCTGCTGAATGGGTTGTAAGGTGATCCTCATAACATCCCCGAGTCTACATGCTTCCGATCCCATTGTGGTGGAACATTGTTCTTAATGTGGGGTTGTAGATATTACCTTGGAGCACTGCTCAATACAGTGAAAGCAGAGTGCTTGCCAGCCCTTCCTTTTCGATTGGCATAAGGTATAACTGATATTTGAATCGTTGAGTATTGCCGTGTGGAAATCACGTTGGACAACCAAAAGATGTGGTATATCCTCTCAAATGATGGAGAACAGTGTTTGCTGCCTTATCTATCTGAAATATCTATGCTATCTATACCACATCTACACAGATGGCACGATGATTGGAACAAGTAGGAAAGACTATCCAGTATTTGCCATAGATGTTAGCACCCGTCCGATATTGCATAGGACCAAAAAAAATTCATCCTAACATTTTTAAATGGATAGCTTGGCCGCGCTTTTCATCGTTCTGAATAGAGAAACGATGGTAGAGCCAATGGTTTGGCACGACATATTATGCAGGAGAAACATTGATGGAAAGTCTTCTTTAGTGCGGCTGGCTCCTTATGGTTCCATGCGAAACATCATACAAGTGTAAGTACATGGATAATTCCACAGTAGCTCTTGAGGAGATGGATGTGAAACACGAAAAGGCTAGCTTTTCCTCCACGAAGAAGAAACATTGGTGTGATAGCATCGTGTAGCAGTCTGACATTTTCAATTCGTCTTTTACAGTTTCAGAGTAAGGTTCTATTACATAGAAACAGATTCAGTTGTCGCTTCTCCTAACGAGAAGGAGGAACGAGAGATTGTGCAGTTCGAAAAGGTATGATTTCTGCTCTGAGTAAAAGAGCATCGTTGGTATGTCAGAAATGCTGCCTTGCTTTTACTAATTTAGGGTGAAAAAGTGTAACAACAACACTACTGTATTAATCATTCTTGACCATGATTTGAATGCTGATATATCCAACAGGGATAAAGCAAATAGGATGATATCGGAGGGTGTGGAGTTTATCATTAACGTGATGGAAAAAAGTCTAGATCGTTCATTTCACTTTCACTGCTATTAAGGTTGGAATAGGATAGGATAGAATTTGATGGCGTTGCTGGTATGAAGCTGTGTGTCTGTGTGTTTTCTTTAAAATTCTATACGACTCATCTTCACGTTTGCTGTCTTCCAGCACTCCTCACATTCGATTCGTTCTTTCCCATCCATCAACCACTAGGATCTTCCGACTTTCTACGCGTGGATTCGGCTATTGTTTGAGGATTTTCATTTGGTGTTGAATGTCGTAGAATGCTGGTTGAGTCGATTCTTCCTGGAGTCCTCAGACAGTCAATGAGGGGCTTAGTGGGCCTGGAGGAAGATCGAGCAAGCATCGTAATCGTGATGATCGGCATCTATACCGCTGTGCCATTGGCTTCCTGGGCTGTGTTTTGTCTTATTAAATAAAAAAATGGAAGACTGCTTCACCAAGACACTAACTCCAATAGTTCATTTGTCGTTGTTCCTCCAGTACCAATTTCTGCAGACTCACTTGACCGGTACTTGTCTAATAGAGGTGTTGGAGCAATTATCGTAACGCTAAGATATTTGAAAAAGTCAAAACGAAAGACGAAAAGAAAGATTCGTGTAGTGTGGTGGTGAAAGCGTTAGCTTCCAGAGAGGGTAATAGCGTATTCGGTCCACAACGCAGAAACCAGCGGTCACGAGTTTTGCAAGTATCTCAGTATCAATATGGTGTAGACACGGCTTAGTCTAAGGATGGAAAGGTACCCTGTTTTATCGAATTTAAGCTAGAGTAATGTTGCTATCCGTACAAGGAAATTTTTTAGAAATATTCACCTCTAATTGGCTAATGACAAATGTGAGAAGCTTTGCACCAGCAATTAATGCAGCTAGTTTCGAACGTGGGATATTGACCTCATGACGAAGTGACGCAAACTTGGATTTACAAATCATAAGACACGTCGTAGGTACGTCATGGCATCGTTATCGAACTGTGTAGGCTACAGCACAGTGCACTGGGTCAGCTCAGGATGAGTCATCAATGAAGACGTGGGTTTCCTACTCGCATGGTGAATTGTGGTCAATAAACATTACCACTCTAGGAATGGTGGAAGAAGTAGACTATGGAAGAATAAGATATTGCATGTGAGAATGTTTATCTGGACGTAAGATATCATCCTAAGCCAATTGGATCTTCCAGAGTGATAGAAAGAAATATTTCCTTTGAAGGACTGAAGACCTTGGAAAGTAATCCGAGGGAATCAAATGCGCTAACAATATATGGGAGCACTTTCCATTTAGCCCAGACATACTGAGACTCGTCCAAAATGGGTAAAAGAGACCTTTATAATGCCTGACGCCATGCTCCTTTCAAGATCGAAGAGATTTTGAAGGGTAGAAACAGGATTTCTTTTGTGCATATGAAACAATTTATTGAGGGTCCCGGAAATGCTAGCGAAGGCTTTTAAGTTTATAACAGCGGCTTGAAAAAATTGCCTAAATTAATTGTAGTACTTCGAAGGAAATGTTACCCACACACTAGTTGCAGGGAGTGTCATTGAACAGTTGAGTTTCAGCTTGAGTGAGGTGATGTTGAGTCACACCAGCTAAACGAAACGACGAACTCACTAATCCAAACGGCAAGCATGTGAAACGATAAGTGGTAACATTGTCGTTAGAGAGTTCACGTTAGATTCTTCGGCCAGTATAAATGGGTGCAATCACGGATCTTTGGATGAAGACAAGCCATGTGAAACGTCTTTTCAATTTCACTGAAAATCAGAATTCCATGGGTAGGAATACGAATGAGAATTCCAACGAAATCACGTAGAACTACCGGACCACAGTATAGAATGTCATTAAGGCAATACTTCTCTTTTGTTTTATTTGAACCGTCGTAGACAAGTCCCATATTAAGAGTGGAGCTGTTTTTTTTAATAACTTCACAGTAATATAAATAGTGATATTGATTGTGACGCTGTTGTGGTGCAACACGTTCTGTTATTTTTTGCTTTAGGTGCCCCGTAATTCAAGCATGGTAGAGCTGCTATTAATTGTACTGTGTAAAGCATAAAGAAGAGATAATACAAGATTCCTATTATCGGTTAAATTGGATACACCATCCTTGAAAGGTGAGCTATAACCATAATATGTCTCGAGGTATCATCAAAATTTGAAACTGTAACCAACGTGCACATTAACAGAGCTGTACTATTCTTAGGTGTCTGCCGAACGAGTTGAGTTGATGTGCGTATAAGGTTTCGCGACGGCTGCACTTGTTCGGTGGCCGATTAAACAGTTGGGTTTCAAAATCTTTGAAATAAGTATAAACATAAACAATATACACAAGTGTTGGCTTTTTTATTCACTGCCTATTCTTTCTAATGGCAAGGTATGTTGTAAAATATAAGTTCAATAATGGTGACATATTCGCAAAACTCCGGACCGCAGGTGTCCACGGTAGGGAACGAACGCGCTATTATCCTTTCCGGTGTGTAACGCCTTCACCACCACACCATACGAGTCCTTCGTTTCGCCTGTCTCTCAGCTAGTTCTGTCGTTCACTGCCATCAGCAATCATTCCTCAACGGGATTGATTTGGAAGCCCAAATCGGCATTGAACCCAGTTAAACTGAGGGTGTAGCTATAATTACAATCTTAACCATTTGTTTTCTTGTTTTCCACCACAGACGCCTGCGGTTCGGTTTTGACAGACCTTGACCTACAACTAAATCTGGATTCATGGTTCGATCTTGCGCAGTGATTTCCTCCATGGTCGTAAAGTTCCCACCATACTTTTCTGAAAACTGGAAGGCTAAAAACACTAGTTTATTTCATTTATATGCTACCACAACTCATTGTATAGGCTAAATATGCATTCAGTCACCTCCGCAATGCTACGAAAGGAGAGCTGAATTTGCAGCCCCCTCCCTCAGAATGTGGACCAGGGCCGAAAGCTTTATCTTTAGCGTTTAATAGTGTCTATCTATTCATATTCTTGCTATTTTTTTTCTTACGAAATGCTTCTAAGGCTGTCAGTTGCGTAGTGCCCATTTATTCATCTACGATTGCAGGGAGCCGATTTAGTCAGAAAAGCCTTCCCAATGAAATGATGGATGTTAAACTGGCATGGTTCTACAAGTTCTTGTCTCTTACAGTACCGTCACCTTAAAAGAGTTTTCAAACCTAGCTTCGAAATTAAGATGCCTTAGTGATATTTGCGCATAGTAGTAATACCACTATGAATAAAGTTTATACAGATTTTTTGTCTTGAATGCTACCGTACTAAGTATCGGATGGTAGTGCGTAAACGTACAGGCTTCGGAATTCCTTTAACTTGTGCTATGTACTTGTATTCCTACTTGCAGTTGTTGGAACTTTACAAGAATAGATTCGTTCGAATGTTGGTGTTGAGCAAGACTTGAATAGAATGCCATTTGTTGTTTGTGTTTTACACATCACGATCACATTCACGTCAGCGAAACAGTGTATTCCGACAAATCTGGGTCATCCTCGTTACGACACGCACCGATAGAGTACGAAAGATCAGAAGAATCGGAATTGAAGCATCTAAAGAACAATTCGAATACTGGTGTGAATTCGACCGAAGCTCGTTTGTGTTCGTTAAATGTTAAATAGGTGACGAGTTGATGACGTCTACTTGCAGCGTCTTCTTGCCTCGTGATGGTGTGTAGCCGTATCTAAAAATAGCAAATCGATTTCGATCGTGGTCTACTTGACACTTCCTTTTTTCTTTTTTATACCAACCCTAGTATTAGTTTTCACTAAGAAAAATTCGTAAATATATGTAATACAACCACAAGATAATTTGGTGCTGAGATAATAGCAAAACCACGAACCGCAGGTGTCTGCGGTGGGGAACGAACGCGCTAATTGTCCTTTCCGGAGAGTAACGCGTTCACCATCACACCATGCGTGTCCTTCGTTTCGCCTACCTCTGACTGATAGTTCTATCTAGTTTTACAAATATCTCAGCATTATTGTGGATGTATCACACATAATGCCTTTCCGTGAAAAATTGCAATAGGCAGTAAATAAAAAGTTAGCGTTCATAAATATATTCTGTTTGTAATTTTCTGCCATGAAGTTTCATTCTCAGAATTCACAGCAAGCGAAAGCTGGCATCACTTCTTTTTCCACTCAGAAACCATTAAAAGAAAAAAAAACTGAAAAATTGCATAGTTTTCTTATATATTAGTTTCAACGGTGTTCCATTTTACCAATAGCACATGCTTCTCTTTGTTACATTTACTGAGAATTTTTGAAAAACTTGATGTTCGGAAAGGAAAAAAACAGATCAGAAATTAAGTTTAATTTTGAAAACGTGTGCTGTTTTCTCGTCAAGGAAGGGGTAGTTTGTTCACCTATCACTCAACTATGAGGTTGGTTCGTGTAGCACAGTGGTCTGAGCCGCGCTGCAATACATATGGGTTTGATCCCTGCGCCCAAGGCCCACCAAACCTTCCTTCTCTCTGGAGTCGGCAAATAGATACCAGACTTGTCTGGGGTGATAGCAGCACTGACTGGATACATCGGTAGGCTACCGTGAGTTATTGTAAGGGCCAGATATGCATTCAATCATCTCCAAACGATGCTTAATGAAGTCGAGTGCATGGCGCTTACTTCATAGATGTATCAGCGCCGAGAGCTTTACCATATGCCCTTTGTCATTTAACTATAGTTATTCTTTAATATTTTGCTAGTTTTTCAAAATTTCTTGCGATAAATTATGAATTCCGAACATTGTATATCATTAGTCTGTCTGTTCATCATTTTCTTTGGTTTCGTAGGCGAGCAGGCCTACGGACTTTTTTTTCTTTGCTAATGGTCAAACGGATGAAGAAACAAGTAGTTTAATTAATGACAATGATTAAAAACACCTCTTAAGCAGCTGTGGATCGTACTTTTTGCCTCTGGCGGCATGGAATCGAAAATTTCGCTTTTCGGCTGCAATCAAGCTACGCAGATCATCAAGATCGAGTGCAGTTTTTCCGAGAAGCTAAAACGACTTAAGCATTGCTTTATGATGCTTATTGTTTAAAAACAAATGCTGTTTTCGTTAAACTTACAGCTTCATAACCGTATAAGCTCTGCGCGTTCAGTACAGAGGTTGTCAAGCAGAGAACTGCGATGATTACCGCAGTTTGCGTCATGAACCTAAAATTCATCTGCTTCTATTATTACTCTAATGACTACGGTATAAGAACAACGAATGCGAGGATTTGTTCAAATGCCAAATCCTGCTTAGTTTTCGGCTAACTCAAATCGGCACCAATGAACTCTCATATGGTCTTAATTAAAAGCAAACGAGCTTGAGGAACACACGCAAAGATCATCACATATTTCACACGGAGCTTCCTAATTCACCTTGCTATTGTTAGCTAACGACGGAATATCCATGGTTAGCCAGGCGGACTTTATTGTCGAAAGAGAAGTTGGAGAGTAGAAGCATGCTGAGTATACTTGTCAGCTCCTGTTGAGATTTCTTAAGGTAAACGTGAGGCTTATCCGTTGGAGGCGTAACCACCTTTCACATTAATGGTTCTCACACATTTCAGTGCAGGATTTCGAACAAATTGACGTGAATATTTTAATTTGTGTAAATCCAAACAGATATATACACATATTTATGAAGTTTGGCTATAATTCTTGAGACCGACTTTCTATTAATCTCAGCACTGACGGAATAGTTCCTTACATTCTTGTTAAGGAAACACGAGGTGTTATGTTGCACTTCATTTTTGACGTTTCGGAGGATTTCGCCTTCCTCAGACCCTGGAAAGGTCTTTTCCTGCAGGTGGAGGAGGTGAGTGTGCGAAGAAGCTATTCTGCGTTTAATGTGATTGAAATGCTTGTTTAGCACTTTACCTGTTTGGTTACGTAGGTGTATAACTGGATAGATTGCGGTCAAATTGATCTTACCTTACCAAGCTCTGAGGAGGGCGAAATCCGCCGAAACGTTAGCTTTACCGCAATAAAGATTGAAATAACACTTCGTTTTTTATCAAAAAGAATATGAAGAATAATTTAGCTAAATATAAAACGCATAAGTCAACTAGATTCATAGAGTGAATTTTTCCTAAATCTCAAGAGAATCCAATCAGTCGTTTTTAGCCTAACTCTCGAACGGAAATGAGGACAGACACGAGTTTGAATTCTTCTGCGGCTACTAAAACAGTATCATTGCGAGGTTCTCTTCATTTCATAGTGGCTGGTTGCCTTGACCATACACTCTGTGTACAACACCATTTCTTTACCTCTGACAGATTGTTACCAGATTTTTCTGAAACTTTAAAAGCACCGATCTTATACATTTCTAGGCCTCTGTAGCCACCTTTAATATCCTCTAAGATAGTCAATGAAGACATTGGCTCACAGCGCATCGCTAGGAAATTGGTCAGTGCTGACCGCTTTATTCTTTATCAACTGAGTGCAAAATGACGAGCATAGCATGTCTTTGATCTGGAAATTTCTCAAGAGTTTAATATTGGCTGACCTCACTACAACTTGAAGCCAAGTTTGTTTGCAATAAATATAACCGATTTCTCTATTTTGTCAATGAAAATATCATTGGAATACAGAGTAGTTGAGTGGGCTATGTGAACCAATATGGCATGGCGTCTTATCGTTCTATGATTATTCTCTCGACTGCAGTATGAGAACAATGAATACGAAAATTTTACCTTCGGTCTGAGTTTAGCTTATAAATTATAAAGATTTATAATCTTATCTTCAAGATGAATGCATAAGTCGAAGAAACATTGATCTTTTCAATTCATAAATACTTCTCACAATGTTTGTCAATAGTTTAATGTCTTTGTACACATACACTTATATATATATATATATATATATATGTATAAATATATACATATATATATATAATTACGACACTACAACAGCACTTGCGTGGTATATAGCTTATACTGTCTTTAGATATTTGCTAGGGTTAGCTCGACTTAATTCATATAAAATAAGCCAATTTAACAGCAACGATGCTGAGATATTTGCAAAACCTGGAGAAAACTCCAAGCCAGCTTCGAACCCGCGATTACTCTTTCTTTGGGCTAGCATGTTACCCACTGAACCACGTATCCTGAATTAATCTAACACAAAACGCTAAGCACATGTTGAAGAGATTCTCATAAACAAATAATGATAAGTCGAAAATGAGCGAGTCACGTCACAAAGCCGATTTGCGCATAACTTCGGGATGAAAAACGAGAAACGTTAGCCCAAATAAAGGTTATATAACAACCTCATTTAAGGTGAACAGTCCAAACAAATGTATGAATAGGTTATTTCAAATGAAAACATTAATAAATGATAATAACATAATTTTGAAGGAAAAGTCCAATGCATAGGACTTAGCCTTATAAATCATTTGGTTCATTCCGCAATGCATTCCAAGAAAATAAGTTATGAATCCCTGGCTAGGACAACTAGAAAAGCACTTATTGCACCCTGGTAAGTTCAGCGTTTAAGTGAATAAATGAATATATATTTTTAGTGTTCATGACAGCTATGCTCTATATTGGTCGCCTTCTTTCACTTGTACTGAACACTTCAACGTATTGCTAATTATTACGTAGAACGATACAGATTACTTGGATGCTCCGTTCTTTTGTTAAAATTCTGACCCTTCTTTGAATCGTTTCGTTGTCTCGCCATCGTCATTCATGGGAGTGCTCGGTCGGATTAGGGTGAACCCAGAACCTCGACGTAAGCATGTTAAGAAGTTCCCAGGTGTTGACCATCACTAGTCGCTAGCCCTAATGGATTCTAGAGGAAAGGTTGTCGTCTCACAATTAGGATTTCTCTAGAACGCTAGCGAATCCTGCGATTAGTCGACCGATTACCGCTCATCGACAGTGTAAAAAGTCCTATTACGTTTTCTTCGAATGCTTTCATCTAGTTTCAAATGAGAAAATCCTAACATCTGTTTGAATAACAGTATTGAGTTCCGAAAATAGTTATTAGAGCAGACGTACTTTTATAGTTGACAAATGTCTTTTCGAATTTTAACCGGTTCTTGTGGGAAGCAAGAAAGCATTAGGCTCTTTTAACGTCAATTATTGCGGTGAGAAAGAAAAAGAATTCAGCTATTTTTGAAAAGGTGGGAACGTCGACTTCCGATTTACCTTCAATTTGCTTCCACTAGTACTTTCATAGTGAAGGAATAATAATACATAAATATGTAAAGCATTAAGACCGAAAAAGGAAGGATACACTGAAAGCCGTGAAAGAAACGCTTTCTTTGTTTCCTTTAAATGCATTTTTTTTATTTTGCTAACTTGCAGACTTTAGCGAAAATAAACACTGAAAGCAATTTTTTAATATTCATAGCCTTTCTAAGCATGATTACGCAAAAAATACTAGTCATGTGGCATTGTACAGAATTTTTCGGAATGAAATACCACAACATCCACTGGCACCGCCTACGACCAAAAAGCCTTCTGGTTAATGGAATTATTGCAAAATTGAGCAGAATTTTGAAGCATCAAACGAACCATTGCAAAAACAAACTTTATATGAGAGAATTTCGCTTTGGCTAAAGTATAAGATATAAAAGCGCTCAATAATCTTCATGAGATGCTCCACACATTGGTCTCCATTCATGGACCCGTATAGGCGACCGTATGCAGGTTTGACATATACAAGGACTTACATTGGCCTACCAATATTTTATATTAGTGTTATTGTTTAATCATTCGAAACAGGTCCGGTCCCAATTTCACGACCGTGAAGGGATGAAGGTCTTGGTTCCCCGAGGCGCAGCATCGAACCAAGAATTCTGTGTATATTGCAGCGAACCTCCAAGCAGTGTGTTGAACGCAAGATAGTTATGTTGTATTTAGTAATGTATTTTTCAATGTTGATGTTGCATTACGTTTTTAGCCACTATCATTATGTATTTACAACTGAAAGGTTCCGTACTGAAATTTTGTTTGAAATGTGACCAACAACGTGAGATGTATTACGTTGACCTATTCATGAGCAACCAAATTTTTTTTTGAAAATAAAAGTATTTCGAGGAAATATAAAATACTAAAGCGAAAAGTGAACTCAGTCATGATATGAAAAAACCACGTTTAATTCAAATGACAAAACCTCGCGTTCCGAAGTAGAAGAGCTTAATAAACTTCATAATGAACAGATAAATCTATCACTACGAGGTGTGTTAAGTCCCACTGTACTGTTTTAGAAGTCCACAGATCAGCAACAATGTGAGGCATGCTTGATTCAGTCTTTTATTGTTTTACTAACATCAACATACTTGACACTTATTTGGTATCCAATGACCTGACATGGACACAGTTATCGACCATGTATTACTCTGTGCGGCGGCTATCCACCAACTAACTTAAATACTTACAACAAATAAACGGTAGGTGTTTGAATGACTGTTTCTTATGCGAATACAAATCGATTTATCAAGTTTTATCTGCTAGGGTTATGAAAGTGTTTGGCTGAGTAGATCGCATCTCAATTTGACCTTTCCAGGTTCTGAAGAAGGCGAAACCGCCGAAACGTCAGCAATTGTGTTCTAATAAATTCTATATTAACAACCTCGTGTCTGCTTATTGATGAAAAACATTGACTTATTTGGTATCATTTGAAAAGAAAATTCGAAAAGTGATGAGCTCGTTTCAATTAATTCTGAGATGTTAACAAACATTGTAACACAAATTAGAAGAGTATGGAAATAACTTAAGCGCTACCGTGAAATAGCGCAAAAAAAGCTCCCCTAAAGGCCATTGTTAGCTGGGAGCACAGCTATGCCGTCCTATGATTATCGAAAAAAAATTCCAGAACACTTATTTTTATTATATTTTACACAAGAATAATTCATTTTATGCCATGACCACGAAAAGTTCAGTCCGTCAATGTTGTGCATTCTCCCGATGAGATAAAACGGATGAATAGAAGCGTGAATACTTCGTTGTTGAACATTCAAAACATTCCGAAAATTTATCTTCTAAAAGCTTTTTCCTTGCAAAAATCAACGATTCACGGCGTGTTTTAGAGTAAAACGTTGCTACTATTCAACTATAAAATACCCACTGCGTGGTGTGGTGGTGAACGCGCTACTCCTTGGAAAGGACAATAGCGCGTTCGTTCCCCACCGCATACACCTGCGGTCCGGAGTTTT